GAGTATATTACTTAGAGGATATTTTAACAGTCTATTTTGATAATACTGTTCCATTACAGCATCTGGTAGATTTGATAAAGAAATGTATATTTAGATGTTAGGTTATTTTGCTTCCATAAAACATCTCTAAATATTTATTTTAATCACCTATATATATTTAATGTGTTATACCCATGTGTATTCAGATTTTATCATTTACCTGTGCATGTATGTATGTATTTATTTTTTAAATATTTTCTTTTTATTCATGAAACATTGTTACTAAAGATAAGGGCTGTGTTTTGTAAAACAAGGTAGAGATGATACACACTCAGTACTGCTGTCAGATGTATCGCAAATGTATATTTAAACAAAATACATACATTTCAAACCAAGCCTGACAGTCCTATAAGCACTGATAAGAGTGAGCGACTGTGAAAAAAAACAAGTACACATCTCTAAATTCAGAAAATTATCAAAAGACAAAGGGCCTGACAAAATGATTCTCCAGAATCCCAGAACAAAGAGGCATCTCTCAAAGCCAATTAAGTAGAGTTGGCTCTTCTTCCAACACACATCAATTGAACTGTGGGTGATAACAATTAGGCATTAATAAATACAAACCTTCCTGTAGACATAAATTATGATCTCTAACACACACAAAAAAAACTAAATAAAAGCAAGCACCCGAATGCTCTTGATAAAACTTTTGTGTCACAATAAACAATATTTTGCACTTGTGAGGTGTTTAAATATTTAAAACAAAATAGTAAAAAAAAACATAAAAAATGTATTAGTTCTATCTTGTAACACTGCAAAATCTGGAAAAAGAAAGTGCATTTATAGAGACTCCATGTACTTTCATGGCTGAAATAAAACCAATATATATGTTACTTGTAAAGGAAGGGGCCACATGTTGCAAATAAACTTGGACATTTGCTTTCAAACAAATTGGGATTTCTCCAAATTGTGGGTGATCAGTGATTTGTCCAAATACCTCAACTCTAAAACACCATATGGACATAACACAAAACAAACAAAATGGGCAATAAACAGGCTGTTTTGTTTGTTTCAATATTTGTAGTTCAATTCATGGCATAAAAAAAAAGAAAATATCGATTGATTGATTGATTGATTGAATGACTAGATGAGTGATGGTTAGCAGGCAGCCATTAATGTTATTCACAGATCAAGTGAGAAATGACTAATAGAGGGAAAAAAATCTATATTTATATATTATATATTCACATATTCTGCAGATCCCTAAAAGGGGACATCATTGAACCATTTTGGGGAAAATGCATGGGAAAAATTAGTCTGAACCAACACGCCACATGGACAAACTTTGTCTGTACAAGCCAAAACATTTTTTGGGATAAATCAGTTTGGTCAAAAGAGTCAAGTTGACCATTAATGGAGTATTTTATATTTTACATTTTACTGCTTAAATACCTTAAATAATTGACTTTATTTGTTACATAGACAATTTGAATAAAAATAATATTTTGTAGCAGTTTTTATCTAAATTCAAAATCCTAATTTATCAGTCCCTCTTTCCGATACTAGAATACTTCCTTTATTCTGGTTTGTGATGTAGTTGATAAAGTCATGGATTTGAACGGACAGAAAGTACCATTAGAGCAATAAGACACCTACACAGGGGTCTTATTATATATGTACATATCTATCTTCTCTGTTTGCATGTTTTTGATAGTCTCTCTTACAGACAGCTACTTGACTACTGATTCTGAGGTTGTGCACAAAGAGGTTTGAAATCTGATAGTCAGCCTCCACACCACACACATTGAAAACACATTTACATACACAGACATATTATTAATTTTTTAATATATAATTTAGTCAACCTTAGTTGCTCTTGTTTTACAAGCTCTCTATGTTTCCAGCACCAGACTGACATTTATATTTTTTAATCTGTGGAAAAGTGTTAAACAACTAACACAAGATGTGCACATCAAACTTAATATTAATATTTGTTTTACCTCTTCTCTTTCATTAAATTCTGCGACTACATAGACTACGATGACAAATATGCATCTTAATGTATGTAGAGCTCAAGGCTGATGATGTAATGTCTGAAATGATTGTATATATTTTTTAATGATTTATCTATATAATACATGAAGAAATATATTTATTTCCAGCCTGCAGTTTTATTTTAAACTTTTTTTAATAACAGTAATAGCAATTATTATCAGATGGGGTTATTAATTTAACAAGGTATTGTGTAAAACGGGCAACACAATTAGATATATTGATATTTTGAGATATTTGAGAATAAGAATATTGATTTATTGAGATTTCTTCCGATTTTGACATGTTGGCCTAAAATGTACAATTCATTTGGCGTTCTTCCACAATTCATAGTGCATTTTCTTTTTAGTTTGTGCATATTGACATAATATGCTTATCTAATTTGTTTAACATGTCACATGTTGCATGTCTTGCTATGTGTAAGCATATACCGAACGTTAAGCAGTGCTAATGCTGCTATTCTGCACTTTTTAAACAAAATATATGTATCTATCCATATGCATTTGCAGTTATTAGTTATTTGTCTCTTTTAGTTTACTCCTTAAATTATCTTTAAAGTCAGATCGGTTTTCGTGATACCGGTTACTATAATCTGTCCAATGCAGGTGTTTCTTACATTGAAAAACGTTTTATTGGTTTCTGGGATGTTAGCAGTGAGTGCAAACACCAATTTTTGACAGGTTCTAGTGGCTTTGCATGCTGCAGGGCATATGAACTGTAATGGTATGTGACTAATTTTAGGAAATGAAAGGTTACAAACACTTTAATTTGACTGCTGGAAAACCAGATGTCTGGAGTTATGGAGGACTAGCACACAGAACACTGTCAAAGTGTCTGAGCTGAATAAACGACATTCATCAGGTAAAGGTGAGTGAATTAAAGGAGATAATTAAGGGAAGCAAGGTTAAAGGTTAAAGAACCACGACATTTTTCAGATGCTGCTGTGCGCATGATGTTTGTAATAATTTAAAATAATATTTATTTTCCTCCTTGGAATTCTTTGGCTAGTCTCTAGCAACCATGGAAACAAGGATGCATAGCAGTTATAATTTCTGAAAACACATTTTGTTTACCTCATTATTATTATTAATAGCATTTATATAGTGCCAACTTACTCTACACCATTTTGCAATCATACAGACAAGGTTTTTTTGCCTTCTTTTGGATCAACAGCAAAACCATATGTGAGGAAGGCTGAACTTGATGGACGCAAGTCTCTTTTCAGCTATGTAACTATGTAAATAACAACAAGTAACTGACAGACAAAATAAAAGTTAACACATACGAGTATACAATCTGGAGCCTGAACATTCAGTGAATTATGGTGTATTTCCATAATTAGTTTCCATATTTTGGCCGTTAGGTTACAGACATTGATAAATCTTGTAAAAACGTTCTGGATTTTGCTGACTGAATGCCCCTGGATAATCCTGGAATATTTTTGCTAATCCAGATTTTACAAAATAACCACATTAAAATTTTCTGGAGAAACAAAGGAAAGAGAGCATAGTCCACGTCATGACATGCACATTGTCATCCCCATAGGCATGTTCTTAAATTTACACCCATAAATCCCCAACCAATAAACACAGACACCATTAATTCTGGTAAAAAAATTATCACAGCTTTTTATTAAAATTGTTTGATTAATTACTTAAATAAAGGGTCAAAATCAAACATACTTAAAGACATCGAAGCCCAGCAGAATTTCAAATGTAACACCTTTTTCACAGACAGTGACCCCACCATAAATAACAGCAATGTAGTAATACAACCATATAACACAAACAGTTACCACAGCCACCAAGGGCATATTTTTCCACTTGTAGGGGTATACCGAGATACCCCTACACACCCAGGTTCTGAGCTACCGACAAAGTCGAACCAGCCAAAACCAATCCAAACATAACTATTGATCCTGAACTTGAAGAACCCCACTTACCAAGCCAACCTACCCCCACAATTTTCCTATCCATCCCCCACCGCTGTGGCCAAACCAGGGAAAGAAACACTAACTTCAACCATCAGAAATAGGGAGGGTGGGACAGCAACAAGTAGGTGAGAATTTAAAATGGCTTCTCCCTAAAATAGCCGCTATATATATAAATCCAGGCCACACCCATAAACATAAACTCTCCAATCCCAAATCCCCTTGTCCATATGCCAGCCTCCTAGCTATGTCAAGGCCCACTCCACTTAGCTTTGCTGATCATTGGGCTTCATTGTAATATATTCTAATCCATCAACTCTAGTTTGTTTTTCTAGTGTGTGGAGATGGCTGTCATGATACCAGTTACTATAATCTGCCCCATGCAGGTTTTTCTTGTGTGTTGAAAAATGTATTATTGGTTTCTGGGATGTTAGTAGTAAATGCAAACACGAATTTATGACACGTTCCAGTGACTTTGCATGCTGCAGGGCACATGAAGTCTAATGGTATGTGTGATAATTTTAGTAAATGAAAGGTTACACACACTTTTATTTGACTACAGGAAAACCAGGTGTCTTCTAGGTTTCCAGAATGTTAGTAGTGAATGCAAACACCAATGTTTGATAGGTTCAAGTGACTTTGAGTGCTGCAGGGCATCTGAAATGTAATGGTTTATAAAGGGGGTAAATTGAGGTAGTGTGTGGGTGGGGGATGAAGGCTTTAGTGTGTGTAGGGGGAAGAAGGGCTGCACTATGTGGTGGAAAAGGGGCTGTAGTGTATGGGGTAGATATGACATGTAGTACAGGGGAATAGTGGCTGTAGTGTATAGTGGACATATGGGATTCAGTATATGGGGGATAGGAAATGAAATATATGAGGGATAGAGGCTTAAATATATGAGGGATAGGGCCTAAATATATGGGGGATATAGGCTGTATTGCATGGGGGATAGAGGTTATGGTTTGTGGAATGATAGCAGCTGATGGAAAAGGGCTATGATGGGAGATAGGGCCTGTAGTGTTTTGGGGTTACATGAACAGCGATGTATGCAGGGGATATATGCTGCATTGTGTGAGAGGGTTATGACTAATGTGGAGGAATATGGGCTGTGATAGGGGGTAGGGACTATGAGGTGAGAATACAGGCAGACACTCACAGACATTGAAACAGACACTGACAGACACACACAGACACTCACTGACAGACATACACTCACTCACTGACAGACAAACACACAGGCAGACACACACTGACAGACAGACAGACACACACACAGACAGTCAAACACTCAATCATTCACACACTCACTGACAGACACACACACAGGCAGACACTCACTAACAGACATGCACTCACTCACTGACAGACACACACAGACAGACACTCACTGACATATATACACTCACTCACTGACAGGCACACACAGGCAGACACTCACTGACATACATACACTCACTCACTGACAGACACACACACAGGCAAACACACACACTGACAGACACACACAGACAGACACTCACTAACATACATACACTCACTCACTGACAGACACACACACAGGCACACACACAGACAGTCAAACACTCACACACTTACTGACAAACACATACACAGTCAGACACTCACTGACATACATACACTCACTCACTGACAGACACACACACACACAGGCAGACACTCACTGACAGACACACACTGACAGACACTTACTGACATACATACACTCACTGACAGACACACACACAGGCAGATACAAACACACACTGGCATTCAAACATTCACACACACACAGGCAGACACCTACTGACATACATAGACTCGCTCACTGACACACACACACTAACAAACACACTCACTGACAGTCAAACACTCACACACTCACTGACACAGACTCAGACATCAAGCCTCCTTACCTCCCTGGGGTCCAGTGAGGGGCAGCTCCGCAATCCTCCAGTGCACTGTTTAGTATGCCGGGGCTGGAATGACATCATATTCCGGCTCCCGGCATCACAGATGGTGCATGAGGGAGGAGTGGGAAGCTGCATGAAGAGCCTCCCTCGCCACCCACACTGCCGCCTGCCTGCCTCCTCTCCTCTGCTGGCATTCATTGGCAGAGCAGGCACCTGCCATCAGGGTAAGCAGGTGCCACCTCCTGGGCCCCCTGTTACAAGGCTCCTCCGGGTGCCCCCATTTTCAGGTGGCTGGAGGATCGGGCCGGCGTTGTGGCTCAGGACAGAGGGAGTCTACCAGGATATATCCAAGTGGGCGCCCCCAGCAGGCCTAGTTCACCTAATGGTGGCGCCTGCCCTGGATGAGGTGTAGAGAGGCAGTGATGGGGGTTATAGGAGCTGTGATGGGGGTATAGGGACTGTGATGGTGGTATAGGTGCTGTGATGGGGGTAATAGGGTCTGTGATATGGTGTATATGATTTAAAATACTTTTCTTAATGTAGCTACAAAGGAAATGATGATGCAAAACAGTCATCCCGACGCACTCTTCATACCGCATACCGCAATACAAAAATAAAGTGGCTCAATCCTCCTTTTCCTACAGAGCATCGCAATTATGGAATAACCTCAGGGACACAGTCAAATCTTCATTCAATCTAAAATCTTTTGAGAGATCTATGGCAATATACCTCAGCACAGAATGTACCTGTCATTGTTGAATATATGTATTACCTGGTATGTATTAACTTTATAAATGCGTGTGTGTATATATATATATATATATATATATATATATTTGTGTTAGGTGCTTAAGATAGTGCAGTGTGAAATATGAATAAGCGTAGGATGATAAAAGGAGCAAGTCGGTTGTGGTGTGCCGAAACCGACGATGAGGTAGGCCTGAGAAAGAAGAGGGCCCACCCAGGAAAAGAAATAGAAAGGAAATAAATGTTAAAAGTGGTGTGGTGGGAGGGTCATTCAACGCTGACCTCGAACGGTAAGGAGCCAGGTAAGGGGAGTGCCTTAAGTAGGCTAGGGGTAGCAAACCAGCACCTCCCACAAATGCAGGCAAATTGCCTTAATACTTGTGTTAGGTGCTTAAGATAGTACAGTGTGAAATACCATGAATAAGCGTAGGATGATAAAAGGAGCAAGTCGGTTGTGGTGTGCCGAAACCGACGATGAGGTAGGCCTGAGAAAGAAGAGGGCAAAAATTAAGTAATCAAATTTATTAACAGACAACCAATACATATACATTTATCAACCAGACATGTTTATGAAAGCATCCCTTAATTCTTGTACTGGGTTCGGTATGTACCGTGAGTAAGCGGATGACTTCCAGCGCCCCAGTGTTTTGATAACATGAGTTGGGATGTTGACACTGGAGGCTGTGGACACGGCTCCTATACGAAAGGAGTGTCCTGAGTATTTGTTTGCGTTGAGGCCCAGTTGTGTGAGCAAGGACCTGACGTAAGTCATGAAGGTTGTAGTGGTGAGTACTGCACCTTGTAGTTGTAATAACGGTTGCGAGGGCAGTAAGTGATGGTGCTGTATGTAGGCATCAAGAACCTTGACGGGACACCATCTGTTGTGCGTGGGATAGTACGGAATGTTTACAGGTATGTGCTGGCTGGTTTTGGAGTGAGGTAAAGACAGGATGTAATGATCCATATGTTTTGTCAAGTGGGAATAGAGGAGGAATGGAGTGGTTTGGGTCGTGGAGGTCGTAGTGAATTCTCTGGGTCGTAGAAATCCATAGAAGGCGATGTATATTGCTGTTTTGATGATAGAATTCGTATTAGTGTCAAACGGTTTTAGGTCAAGTAGGTTAGATAATGCTTTGAAGATATGGTTATCTATGGGTAGCCTCTGGGCCAAATGTGTGGGTTCTGATTTTTGAATACCTCTGAGTATGGTCTTAATTTGGTGAGAGGCCATGAAACTGTTGTTATTTGGGTGTAAGATGAGCATGTGGTGTTGAATGCCAGTGAGATAGAGTTTGATGGTGTTGTATGACATTTTGAGTTTAAGGTGGCAAAAGGAAGCAAACCCCCAAAAAGATGTCATAACAAACGGTTGTATGATGTTATGTTCCAGAAGGAATCGTTTGAATAGTGTGAAAGCCCTGCTGTATGTTTTGTTTGTATTGTTTGAAAGTGCCAACTGGGACAATGTCCTGCTATGCTGCATGATGACGTCTAGTCCAGTATGAGTTGTTGAAATGTTGGAGTGATGGTGGCTGTGGGTGCTGCTGATGGGAGTGCTTGATGGAACTCCTGAAATTTAAAGCGAGACAAATTGTCAGCAGCTGTGTTATATACACCTGGCACATGGAAACAACATAGGAAGAAATTATGACAAGCTGCCAACCAAGTGAGTTTCCTCAGAAATCTCATGATCGTAAGAGATTTGGAATGACCTTTGTTGATGATGTGACAGGTTGCCTGGTTGTCTGAGTAACAACGCACTGGCGTATTAGCCCATAAATGACCCCACGCTACGGCAGCCGCCACTATGGGGTAGATCTCAAAAAGAGCTGAGGTAGTGGAAAAACCTTCCAAATCCAGAACTGCTGAAGGCCAGCTGCCCCAAAGCCATTCGTTCCCAAAAATTGCTGCAAAACCAGTGGTAGATGCCGCATCTGACCAAATGGTAGGAGATGATTCAGTCAATTGAGGGAGGAACATACTTTTACCATTCCAAGTGGTTAAAAACCTCTTCCACATGTTTAGATCTGCCGTAGCTTGGGCATCTAAGGACAACCTGTGCGTGTCATGTAGAAAAAGTGGGAAAAGATGCAATAGTCGTGAAATAAAGGAGCGGCCTTGAGGTATGATGCGCATCGCAAAATTTAGTGACCCTAGCAGGGACTGTAGCTCTTTGCGGTTGCAAGTGCCGAGCTGTAGGTAGTTGTTTATGTAAGTGAGAATATTCTCTATCTTATCGTATGGTAGGCTTGCTTGCATTGTGGCAGAGTCTAATTGGATACCCAGAAAAGTGATAACCGTGTCTGGCCCTTCTGTTTTCTTTGGGGAGATGGGTACACCTAGTTGCTCAAACAGCTTAGTGGTAGCTTTGAGGCTAGTGGGAGGTGAAGTATTCTCCTCGACCAGTAGGAAATCGTCCAAGTAATGTAATACCGTAGGGCATCCGGCTATGTTCAATAGTAACCAGCATAATGCTTCAGCAAATGTGTCGAAAATAGCTGGGCTACTTTTGGACCCAAAAGTTAACCGGGAGAAAAAATAGTAGTTCCCGGACCACTTGATGCCATGCAGGTGCCACAGTGTGGGGTGGATAGGGAGTAATTTGAAGGCGTTAGTAATGTCGGTCTTACTGAGCCAGGCTCCAACCCCTGCTTGTATGATAGCTGTAATGGCGTGATCTATGGTGGTGTATTGCAGAGAGAATTCCTCAGAGGGTATGAGGGAATTAAGACTGGGGTTGGCCGATGAGTGGGGAGCCGATAAGTCAATGATGTGTCTCTGTTTTTGGGAAGATTCCCTGTGACAATACCAATAGGGTTGGTGCACCATTCTGTGAATGGAGGAGTTCTAAAAGGCCCCAATACAAAGCCCTCATCCACTTCTTGGGCTATGAGGGTGTCAACCACTGTGGGGTTGTGTTGGGCGGATTGTAGGTTAGGGCATTACAGAGTTCCAGCTGGTATGTGTAGGATACCTGTGTGGAAGCCTTCTGTTAAACCAGAAACAAGAAAGTCTACCAGGTGTCTAGATGGGTGTTGAGACATCAATGCTGTGAATACTGGCATATTAATGGACGTAAGGTAAGGCTTGGAATACATCTTATTTGGACACATGATCTTTGCATGTGCCCTAAAACATTTTGAACAGACATGCAATAGTCTACATCCACTGTAATTACAAGACCCAACATTGAAATTATTACATATCTGGGACTTGCCCAGAAACTTGATTGGGCGTCCCAATTTGTCTTTGGATAGTTTCCCTGGATCCCCAGAGGAACTAGTTCCTTGTGTGGAGGCATGTCCGTCTGCCGTGTTGGGACAAAAATTAGTAGTATGGGCTGTGGAGGAGCAGTATGCACAAGCTGGTGTTCTTAGACCTGCAAAGTGTCTGCAAAATAAGACGGTATCAATCCTTCCCCAGTTGGATCGTGTTCCGTACTGGGAGAAGGCTCCAGCCACTTTTGCAGAAAAAGACCTATGGTAGTCATAGAATGCTGAACCACCATATTTGTTGCCCAGGTCTACCAGCTTGTGCATATAGAGATCAAACTCCTCTCTTCTGTTGGGATAAACCGCACAGATGACATCCCTGTAAATACCAAACGCT